GAAGATGATATCATTTGGCCTGTGGTTTGGCTGCTCATACCAACCACCTTCGCCACCGTAGGTCAGGGAATTTCTCCTTCCTGAAGGTCTTTGGTATTCAAATGCATTTTCATTCTCCCAGTTGCCTTCATACCATCCTGTAGCATCCCAGCTCTGAGAGCGGCCAATGTTTGTGTGCCTGCTTGGAATAGGCATTGGAACAAAACAGTTTTCTTCCGTTTAAAGAAAGAAGAGGAGGTGCCTTGCTTTGCAAATCTTCTCTCACACGCATCCAAAACAGATCATGCTCTATCTGAGCCCTGCTGGGACTTCAGAAACAACCAATTGGTGGTTTTATCTTTCAAAGTATTACCTGAATTATTAATTCTTCGAAACTTTAGGAGACAAAGCATACAACACCCACTGTAACTCGGTCCCGCTCCAGAACTGCAGAAGGAGAGATCTTTCCTGTACAATTCAGCCACAGAGGAGGGCTGCCGCACTTAATCCAGATGCTTTATCCTTTCCTGCTTGGGACAGTTTGCTCACATGGACAACCGGCCTAGCAGTGTGTGAGGATTAGGCGCTAAATAAAACCTCTAAAGCCTTTGTTCCATGTGACATCATTTTAGCCTGATGAAATCTCCTGCACCGACCCTGCCAGCAGCCTCAATACCAGCTCTCCCCTGGGAATCATTTCTGCATGTTATTTTTATCCATTTTTCATCTCTCTCGGTTGTCTCCTTTCTCGTAAATTCGCTGTCCCAGTCGGCACCAGAACGCACCAGGAACCAGCAGAGGGATAATGAAACGTGCACACACGCGCACGCACACACGCGCACACAAAAGAAAGCTTCAGTGTCAGCTCAATCTTAATCCACCCTGATGAAATGCTAATCCACTGCACACAGCTAAGGACAAATTAAACGGGAACAAGCAGGCAGGCCTAAAAAAAGGCCAATGAAAGACACTCGAGAATACAAGAGCGATTAGAAATTAGTTAGGTATCTGTTTAACACTTTATGAATATTGTAATTTGCTTTGGAAATTACATTTTTGGTTGTAGTTTCAAATTAGCTGTACTACAACTAGGCCCCAAAAGGAGTCTTTACATTATTATCATAATACGCAAATCCTTTCATCATCCCAGGACAGAAAATTGTGGAGGTGTAATCTGGAATGTATAATTTTAAGACCCTACCAGAGGTCAGGGAAAAGGAGGGGAGGATCAAAGGATCTAAACCCTGGTATTACAAAGCAAAAAGGAGTAGAAGACTTTTGCCTATTATCTCCCGGTTTCCTTTAGGAAAAAGAAAAATACATGTTTATGAGATGGAAAAACACTCAGAGACATCAGAGAAAACTCAATTTGTATCTAGCAGTATTTCAATATTCATATGGATTAAGCTTTTTTTACACTTACAGTAGGCAAAAGGATTTAGATGGAATCACACCACAGAAAACTGTTATTCGGAAACATAATAAAAATGTCCATATATAGTTACCGTTTTCTGAAGAGATATTAAAATGGCTCCCAAAAACACATATCTAAATTGTCACATGCTGCTGATGCTCAGACATTCCTTTTCATATAAGAATAGGTCAAACATTACTTATTTTACTAGTCATTCTGGGTGAAGCAACATTTTCCTTCTTTAATTGAAAAAAAAAAAAAGGACAGAAGGAAAAGATTTTGTCTTTCTCTGCTGCAGTAAAACATTTCTTCTTCTCCAACATGTACATCCCAGCACTGAATCAGCAGAAGGAGTAACAGTCACCTTCTCTTCCTCGGTTTGCAGGACAGCTTGTGCATTTTTCATGGCTAATCCACAATAAATGTTAGTGCACTAGCCATCACATGATAGAGCATCGTGCTATTATGATAGCTAAATCACTAATACAGTCTAATGCTTATACTTGCCTATCATACTAATACCTCTGGGCTATATTTCTGACCCAAATACTGACAGGATCTTTCAGTAATCCCTAAATTTCTTTACTGCGGTAAATATTATAAATCCTCTTCAAACATTCTCCCCTCCAATTCCATCTCCAAGAACCACAGTCTTTAAAATTATGTTGGATATTACACAGACAGGCGAAACATGGGCCCCAAAAGATTATTTATGCAATTCTCAGAGAATATCTGATTGGCATCATATTGAATTAACTAACAAACTTAAGGAACATCGGAAAATTTCTGCTTTTGTGAGAGTCAAAATGGGAAGACACATTTGTGGCTTATAAATAAAGCAGAGAACATTTTAACAAACAAAAACATTTTATTACAACAACATTTTGCTAAAGAATAAAATGCATTCCCCATTGGATGCTCTAAGATCTGTGCCATTTGTTTGTTCTGAAGCAGCAGAAGAGAGCTACCAAAAATGTATATGAAAAAATAATAAAATACCACTCTGTGGATCAAGGGCATCTTCCATCCTTGTTTTCAAAGAAATTGTTAATGAACTTAGCCACCATGTTAATCACGGGTTGACAACGGAAAAAAACGTGTCACAGAGAAATTAAATTTCATAGAAGCTGATCTTGAACAACTGCAGGGGAAGTCAGAAGGAAGCTTTGAACATTTACTACCTCCTAAAAAGCTTTCATAAGCCCTTGGGCCTCATGACGGACACACACAAGAGACCTCACCCAAACCACCAGCTTCGAAAGTGGTGGCCTCATAACCGCCTGGCTCCTCTCTGCATATGGGCTATGGCAGGACCAGGAGATGGATCTCCGAGCTCTTTCCAGCCCAACCGCAGGACCACCTTCATGCCTGGGCTCCTCCAAACAAGCACGTGCCTTGGCACCAACCTTCCCGTCACGCGTGAGATTGTGCAAGCCTTGGGCAGAATGACTTGCTCTTCTCCTCCTGCTTCGCGGGAGCCAGGAAACTTAAACGTTAGCTCTGACACCAGGAACGCTCATGCATATGGATGATCTATCCCATCCACCCTGACCTCAATGGAACAAATTAACTATTCCTGTGCTGAAAAGTCAGCAGAGGTGAACGTCCGCAGGACCAGGGGCCGTGCGATGTGGCGGGAGCTGGTGGAGCCAGGCGGCGCGGCTGTCCGTTCCTGGCAGGGCCACGCTCTGCGGACCACGAGCTTTGCTGGGAGCACCGGCAGAAAAACATTCAACTCCCAGGGAATCAAGAAATGAATAAATGACCTGAATGAAATATTTATGGATGGCCAGTAAAGGCCTTTTATTTTTCTTCTTGCATTCTCAAAAGCAGCTCCTATGCAAATTTCAGTAACTCTGTAGCTATTTCCGAATGCAGAGCCAGGCTGCAATCACCAAGAGAGGGCTCGGAGGAGCAGGAGCACAACGCAACACAACTAATCCTGTCCACGCTCGGGAGAGGAGGAACGCACCAGCCCTGATGCTCCCAACACGGTGGGGAGACCAAGGACGGCTGGACAGGCAGAACATTTATTTTCCCTTTATCTTTTCATTCTGCAGGTATTTTGGAAAAAAAACCCACACAAAACCAAAAAGAGCTGATCAAGAGGTTAAATACTCTGGTACTTCAGTTAATGTGAAAAATGCACGGTTTTGACTTCATACACTGGGTTGCGACTTAGCGTTGATACACTACGTGGTAGATCTTGCTATGATACCCCAACACAGTAGAAGTCTGCTCCGAAGAAAACGTAATGATGGAGAAGATGGCAGATGGAGCCATCATTTGAACACCACAGTCAAATACTGAAAATCTGGAAACAAGTCATGGTGGATACAAAATAACTTTATTTTCCTATACAGCGCTCAAAATTTTGTTTTTCTTACAGTGAGGAGAAAGCCTATTTTACATATAAAAGCAATGAGGAGAAATTAGGATGCTAAATCTGCAACAGAACTGCATAAAAAATATTTTTTGGTGTGTCTGTAGCACTGACCCAGGGGGAGGTGGGTTGATTTAAACCATTTCATTTCCAATTTTGGAAGCAAGTTATTGGAAAAATTATTTGGTGTAACAAAATACTAGGTTTTTTTTTAGCTTTTTTTTTCTTAGTTTGAAATACTTTCCGAGTACAAGTTTAAATCTTGTTTCTAGTGAAAACATGAAATATTTTCTTTTAATACAGCAAGATGTTGGCGCTTTCTTCCAAATCATTTTTCTTCTAGGGGAAGTGGAACGGAAACAATGTAGCGAATCTGCCAAATGTCATTTCTGGCAAAACCGGTTAGATGAATCTGTTCACCTCCCTTTGAGATCAATACTACAAAGGTTATTTTCCTTTCAAAGGCAAAAGCATCCTATCCATGTTAGTGAAAAATCCTCTAGAGAAAAAATGCATCTAGTGTGAATGAAAAGACCAGGTATCAGGACACCCAGCTTTCATATTTAGCTCTGACATTGTCAGCAGATAAAATTGCTTAATTTCTTAGTCACAGACTTCCCTTTTATGAAGAGGGCTACTGTAATATATACCCATATATAGGTATATATAATATACACCCATCCTATTTGGATGTCGTTAAGATTAATCAGTGCTGGCAACACGTTCTCAGGTGACGAGGTAAGAAGCACCTGAAAGTCAGCAGGAGGACAGATGCTGATGTCCTCTGCGCTCTGCAGGTCCGTGCGTTAGCGTGCCGGCTGACTCCCGCGGCCCGGGAAGCCTCTGCACCGCTTGCGTTCGCGCTGCCTTCGGCTCGCAGGAAGCCGGGCAGGCATAGGTTCGAGTTAGCGCCGAACCACGGCGCGGCACACGCCGCGTGCTCCGGAGAACAGCCGAACCGCGGGCCCTGGAAACGCTGCACACGCACGCGCTAATCAAAAAAAATGGAAAAGAAACTGGGGGAAGAAAAGCGGAAGGAAAATGGTCCAAGCCTTTGGAAATTACTACGTTGGCTAAAACCTGGCTCCGTGCAAGTCTCCTTTGCAGCGGCAATGAGCCCGCTGCGTAGATGGACTTTCTAAGAGTCTCCTGAAATTGGAGGAGTACAAAGAGAAAATTAGCAGGATTGTGCAGGAATCATTTTCAGTAATCAAAGGAAGAGAACAGCATCTGAAAGCACTCAGCGCTTGAAGGCGTGCCACATGCTTTTACCAATTTCCCCGCCGAAAGCAGGGATGCTTCAGAACTCCAGCAAAACGCTCCCAAATACCAGCGCTGTGCATTACAGCAAAACCCGCCGAAGATTAGCCCTTTCTTAAACGATCATTGCCTCGCGTAACTCTCGATTTGGATTGCTTTAAGGCGAAAAACAAAAGCTGACGTCCATTTGTAACTCAACCCCCCGACGCGGGGACGTAGATGTACTGTAACCATTGGCTCACAGGAATTGCAAGCCAGAGGAACGCACTGAAACACGCTGCCTCTAAACCTTACGCACAAATCGAAATTTGCAGCTTCGTTATGCCTTTCCTGCCGATTTCGGGACGCACAAACGGACCCATGCATAAGGAAGAAAAAGGGGGAAATCGTATCTAAATAAACGTGGAGCCACAGCAAAGGAGCGTGTCTCACATGCCAAATAAAACAAGCAAACACAACAGCCGCTTACTCTAAAACCCGACGACACGTTACTGCAATGCCTTTCTGAGCAACAGCAATTTCCCAGGAACTCACAAAAACCGGTGCAGCAAGGGCGACGCGACAGAGAGCAACGTCCCCCTCCCTCCCACCAGGCAGCGTTACGCCGCCAAAGAGCACCGAGGTCTTTCACAAGATGACCCTGGGGGACCTCTTCCTTCATGGCTGCCCTCCTTGACCTCTCGCCTCTCCCCTCCTTTTTTTTTTTTTTGTGTGCGCCTCTCTGGGTAATTACAGAGCGAGCTCGGCGAGGCAGGCTCGGCTCCTTCTCGCGCCGTTCGTCCACCCGATCGCGCGGCCGGAGCCGGGCGTTTGTCCCTCGGCCGCTGGTGGGGACGCTCCCGCGGCCTCGTCCAAGTGCGAGCAGACCCACCGCAACGCGACTCGCTCCCCCGTGCTGCCTCGTCCTCCCGGCAAAGCCCTGACGCGTCGCCCCTGTAGATGCAAAGCAACCGGCAAATAACAGAAATGTGGCGAGCTAGCAATAATCTGAAATACACTTGTATTCGAAAACAAAAAAACACAGCTGTAAAACATGCTTTGAGCAGCTGGCAGGAGCACTACAGACTCTTGAAACTTCAACCAGAAACGATTTTGCCTTCAAGTGTTGGAAGGCTCCTATAAAAGTTAGCAGAAGTACTGTGAAATTCTTGCATCGGCAAAGGAAAAATAACAATATCAGATGTATTCCTCTACCAGAAAAGTATGTACTTTGAAGGACTACAAAACAAAAATCAACCTGCATACTGAACAGCAGTCGAAAAGCCAGAACACAAGGTTCATTGGACACGTCCCTCGACTATTCGCAAAGATCTAATCTATATATGCTCTTAAAAATAATCCTCCAGAAATCACATCAAGCACCTTGTCTCCAAAACTGGGTATTAGACCTTGAGGTCAAAACTCATCACTTCTAATAAGAATTCAGGATCAAGATTTAAATAGCACGTGTAATGAAAAGCATGGGAATTATATCTGTCCCAGAAAGCAGTAGAGAAATCCATTGTTAAGTGAATATGTATTATAATTCTGAACTCTCCCATGCGTGTCTGGGCCTTGCACAAAGAATAATTAATTACGAGGTTGTAACACGAGCCTGAAGAGAGAAACAGGCTGGGGTTCAGGAGGTCTCTTCCCTGCTACCCCTAGCCCTGCTCAAGAGCGTGAAACACACGCTTCACCTGCAGACTCAACATAGATAAAAATGAAAACAACAGGAGGAAATGTTATTTGAGCTACAAAACATTGATTCATTGATTTTCTTTATAGATTAATGCATCTGAAGGCTGCAGGAACTATTAGATCATTTACCACGCCCAGCTCCTCAAAAAGTCGCTGCCCACCGGCCCGAGGTGAGCACGGCACTGGGGCTGGGGCCGGCGCCAGGACCGGGGCAGCCACGCGACACCGAAGCCCCGGCCTCAGTCGGCAGCACGCCACCAGAAGGAGAGCGAGACTTGGCCCTGTGCACGGGAATGATAAACCTCTCGATTCCTCGAGCTCACCAGAGAACTAAATCCCTCCCGACAAAAGAGGCTCTTTTAAGTATCGTGTCACCGAAATCACTCTGGTCACGGCTCGCGCAGTGTTTGGCGACGGTGATTAACAGCGCCCTGAGAGGAGCCACACCGGCAGCTGCGTCCTACCACCACTGTGGTTGTCTTCTGCTGCGATGACCGAGGGGGAGTTTCATGCCCAACCTGGGACAACCCCAAAGACTGCCAAGGCTGAAGGTGCCTGGCCCCATGCACACCTGGCTTGTCCCCTGTCCCCCATCCTGCATCCCCAGGCCAGGCCACGCAGGCTGGGACATGGGGCCAGCAGTAGGCTTCTTGCAAGAGAGCCCTCTTCCCCACAAATGGATGCTCTTCCTGGCCTGAAATAGTCCTACAGGATTCAATGGGACTACGACATAATGAGACAACTGCATACCCCACACAAGTGAAGACAAAGGGAAATCTTGACTTACACCCACACGTTTGGCCTCTGCTTCCGACCTCTCATCCATCTCCGCGCTCCTCCTCGGCCGCTTGGCTGTTTAGTTTCATTTGCTCATCCGGTAAAGTAACAGTCATCATTAACTAAGGGTGATGCTATTCTCTCACAAAACTGGATGCCGGCCTGTAACTATAGCCAATTTTGTAAAGTAAAGGTGTTTACTAATACATTTTGGGGTGCTAGATGGCAATAGAGAGTGGGGTTTTTTGCCTTTTTGTTTTTTTTAACTAAGAAGACAGTCTAAGGAAAGATGAAACAAATTAACAGTGAAAACGGTCTATATAAAAGCGCCAGGAAAGACATGATCAATCCCCGTTAAGTTTAATGCAACAAAAATAGACATCCAACTGTAGAAAATTTGCTCTTTGAAGAAAGCTCTCACATATAAAGCACATAATGAAAACCTTCCTGTTTTGGCACTTAGATCCATTACATCTGTTCACAGATACTGAAAAATATGAAAGAAAGTGGTGTAATGTGTTTCTCCGCAGCTTTATTTTAGTATAGCCAGATGTCCCACTCCTGTCAAAATATTTACTAGTAAATATTCGGTAGAGTCAGACTCAAATTTGAAAACCTGGTCCAGATCCAAACGTCTTCACTCCAGAAGTATTCTAATTCGGGAGTTTTCTCTGAGCTTTCTCTGGCATTTTGGTAAGGAAGGAAAATACATACCCTTCTTATCTGTTGCTGAGGATTGAGCCCTTTCAATCACATACTTGGGAGAGGGAAAGCAGCCAGCTTCCATCCTGCGGCAAGGCTTACTTGCACTTCACGGATAGCTGCTCAGCCGACTGAAATCCCACCAATTTTACTATATGTACAACTGGTTTTACAGTGAGAATCCCAATTTTCCCGTCTGTCCAGCCCAAAGGGCACCGAAATGATTTGCTCGCCATATTCGGTGCCTCGAGGGAAGGTGACACTCCTTCTGAGAGGGAAGAGTGGTGACGATGGGTGGTGAACACAAGGGACCGGAAGTTCCCCCTGGATACGCACACAAATTCAGTAACTCTCCCGAACACCGCAATACCGCCGCACGACTAGCCAAAGCTCGTCACTCCTGCCAGCTGCGTTCCTGGTTGCACAATCTGGGGGCATCGCTATTTTTCTTAAAAATCTTTCAATGCAGTGTAGAACTTGGAGGAAGGAGACAGCACACAGATACGACGATAACGTATTAATCCATAACTGGTTAATTTAAATGGCAAATGTAGTAAGGATGAAAATTAAGGTAATGGTATTGAAGTCATCAGTTGTATTTGTTGCTTAATTAATGACATGAAGCTATAATGCTTGTTAAATGGAACCTTGTTTTAAAGTGGGGGGGAAATGGAAAAATACAAAGTGGAATTAGCAGTTCGACACATATTAAGTTACTGTAAACGTGGGCTTAAACGCTCAGAGAAGACAACAGAGGTGTTTTTTTTCTGGTTATGTGTCTAGAACAATCAGGTCTCAGGGCAAGTGGAGTTGTACTTCTTGTAATGGCCTGAGTCACCTATCCAATGCAAAGCACTCGCATACCAAATTCACGGACATCTTTTCTGTAACGTTATCTGAATGTGCCTCACATTTTACCAGATGCCTGAGGGATTTTGCCAGGCTGGCTTCGTATCTGGCTCACCTCCAAAATCCTGTCATACGTAACCCCCTATGGCATGTCACAGGAGATATATACTGCACATAAGTCAATGTGTGTAAGTCTACACAGAACTGAAAAACCACCTGAACAGCCGATGCCGCCATGCTGTAAGGACAACAATATACCTGTAGATATGAGATACACGGCACCTCAGCCGCAAACCAGAAAAAGTCCACTTAAGATTTAGAGAATTTTTGCCTCAGCACAGCAAAAGGGTTGAAAATCATGGAATAATCCCAAAAAGCTTGAAAAATGTCTGTGAACCCACTGAGGTTGCTGGAACTTTGTTCATCCATAGGATTCTGTCCAATTTTAAAATATTTTAAAATTTGAACAAAAGCTGTTAATGATAAGTAAAAACAAAACCTGCTATGTCTCTGTCAGTAAACAGGTAATTAAGAACACTGCTGTACAGCACCCTTTTCGTTGTCCAAATTGGTAAAACATGGCGTAACCTAGCTTTTGTGCAAATCTGAAGCAATTTTTAAATTCTCCGTACAGGCCAATGAACTTCATATGGACTCTGTGGAGCAGCTGAATGTTAGAAGCAGACAGACGTTCAATTAGTGTAAATCAGCACAGGGTATAACGGCAGAGGATCTGACAAGCTAACTTCTCCTTTTCTCGAGGCAAAATGTGGTAAGCAACCCTTCCTTAAAAGCCTGATGGTTTATGTCCTTTGAGGTGGAAACTTAGAAAAAAAAAAAAAAAGCTCTATTGTGGGAGGAAATCCTTGTACTGTGTTTTATATTTGTGGAACAAAGCAAACTCAAGTCCATTAAAAAAAAAAGGTCTATATTTATTCTAAACATGCCACTTTTACCCAGGATAAGCAGTTTCTTCCACACTTGATATCATCTTTAACTCATTGTTTCTCATCAAGTGACTAGTGGTGATAAGAATTTCCTGAGATAATAGGATCCTATTTCTAAGCAGTAAAAATAAGTATTATCAGATGCTACTTGGCATTCAAATTTGCAAGAATGGAAGAAAATTCCTCCACCCAAATATTAAGCATACTCATGTTGGCCAGTATTAAACTATACAAAGGAACAAGAATTGGAGGCAGCAGCTTTCCAAAGTTGCCCGGTCACTTCAGAGATCCTCAGAAAGGCAATAACCTAGAACAGAGATGCTGAGCACTGAAAGAATCCATTTTATGACATTACACGTATCACAACGTCTTATAACTGATTATTCCCTACCCAACACCATGTCAACAAAACACTAAGCACTGGAAAATAAAAAAATGCCAGAAATGTGGTTGCTTGTACAAAATCAAGGGGAAAACACAGGAATGGAGTGAAAACCACCTTCCTAACTGCCCGATGTTAAAAGCACTACGTGACTGGCGTTTATTCGCCATTAGACATACAAAAGGACCTGAAAGAAAACAAAGAATATGAAAGAAATCGAATGGCTTGCTTGGCACGGCAAACAGTTCTGCTATTTTGCAAAGTACAGACAGCTCCGGTGGCACAAACTGTCATGTAAGGACATGATTTCTCACCGGATAATGACAAATCCCGAAGCAAAATCTGTATCAGAAAAAGTCTGGGCTCCCTTGGCCTTGCAATTATTTCTTCTCTTTGCTTCTTGCTCTTCTCTGGGCTGCTGCTTTCTGGACGTCACGTTGAAAGCTTAGCTGACTCATAAATGTCAGTGCAAACTTTAACCTATAAAGCCAGGCATAAAAATTTCATGGCACGGGTGTCAATGGCAGCACGGCAGCACAGCTCCGAGCGTATGGAGCGGAGGCAGCAGCGGGGATCATCAGAGAGGAATCCGGTGGGATTGGGAACCCGCGTTTTACACAGAGGCAAGATCCTGCCACCTAGTATCCTGGATCTGCCGATCCTTTGCTTCAACAAAACAAATGTAGAGAAAATAGCATATCTGTAAGAGTGTAATACATCTTGCCGGTACTCTACGGTACAGGCGTAGAGTCAGGGCGGGGTCTGCCACGGTTTCTCCACCGCTAGGTGTGTCACTCACACTTCTGCAAGGCAGAGAAAGCCTGGAAGGACCTCCTGACTGCTCTGTAAATAAACAAACAGGAGGAGGAAAGCTCCAAGATTAGAAGATGAGGAGGAAAAATGCACATACCCATGAGGTAGGGGTACAAAATACTAAAGGATCATGGAGCTCAAGACCACCATAACGAATAAAATAAAAGCAGGCGTGAAGAAGGATAGGAGGGCAACCTGATTTCTTGCACTGCCCAAGCTTTCAGTGCCAGTTCTCTCCGAGCGCTTCATCTTGCCCACCTGGCCTTGTCTCTGTCCAGCCTCTTTACTCCAACTTACTCCCTCCTGTCTTACTCTCGATTCTTCTCCTTTCCACGTGTGTGCTCTGGCAGCAGCTCTGTCATGCAGGGAACAGGTCCTCACGGCCGCCACTTCCGTGCCCGGAGGACTTTTACAAAGCACATACAATCTTTGGATATTTCAGCTCTCAGACCAGCATCTAATGGAGACAAATGCTAACTTAATTTCTTTCAAAAGCTTCTAAATTGGCCAAAATTTGGGAACAATAAAAGGCACACTCCTGACGCCACAACAGTTTTGTTGCAAAATTTAGACTCATTTTCCAAAAGAGGAGGGTACCACAGCTTCCAAAATAAACGGCTGTAAGATCTGTGATCTGCTCTGTTTGAAACATAACAAAAGAGCACTCCTCTCCATCGCCTGTTTATAGACATGGCTGAACAATTTTTGCTGGAACTTTTTTTTTTTTTTTTCACCCTGAGGTAAAAACTCATCATGAAATGGAAAATTTCAGCTCAGACAAATGTAAAGTGTGGCAAAATTATAAGCAAATGAGATCAGGATCTCAAATAAGGGCTGCTGGACAACTCCAACTAAATACAGCACAAGCAGCTCCACCTCTAAAGCATATTTTAACCCACTCTGTAATTAGACATGATTACACAAACAGAAATTATGTAATCCACTCCCCACAAATTGTTTGCAAATGCCCCAATCGTTCCCTGGACAGATATGTGCAAATCTTTCCACCCACGCAATCCCCAGCTCTCTGGAGCAACCCGAAAAGAAAGAAGCGGGTAAACCAAGATCCCGGCGAAAGCACTTGGACTTCACTTCACTCTGATGAGCATCAGACACCTGATTCGTTCTTAACCGCTCTAAATGTCCTTATGGCAGGCTGTTGCCCTAATATTTCTTTATCCCCTCAACTCTGCATCTTGGTCCCACTCATACTTTTCCACAGAGCAAAATCTATTACCTGATCCAAGGTGCTCACGTCTTCAAAACGGCCTCCTTAGAGGGAAAAGCAATGCCATATAAAGATATCATAACTATATATTAAAAAGCAGAGTAACTAGTCAAGCTACGAAATGCAGCAAGACTAAACTGGCTGTCTTCCTAGTACAAGGCTCATAAACCTGCATTTCCAGGCTATGAACTGGCATCTTCAAGGATGTTACTTCTGCCACGGCTTGGATTTTGTTTCTGGCGGCAGGTGTCCTCAGGTACTAACATTTTCACTGCTGCTGCCCATTTAACACAGTACTACAAACACTGCAGCTTTTTAATATACTCTTTTGATGCTGGGGTAGTTTATAAGCTCTCCAGTTCATTTATTTCACTTAATGCATGAATATTTATGTTTCTGTAAACATAAAGACTGAAACTAAAAAAACTTCTTTCAGCTGAAGTTTTAGCCTCCTTCCGTGGCTGCTTGTACAGCACAATGAAGACCTCAAGTGTTAAGTATTGTCATTTGGCAATATGGACAGCGATTGCAACACACAGCAGGAAGTGCGGAGATATTTATTTCCAGAGCTGTGTTGGATCACGGCATGAATGAGGTTCGCTCCTAACAAACTCTTCCAGAGCTGTGTCACTAGACGTAGTAAAGGGGATGGTACAAAAGCCCCCTTCTTCAAAAAAAAGCACAGCAGTCCACATACATACGACAAAAACCTCAGCTTTTCAGCAACTAAGTGTAGCTATATTTGTTTAAAGAGAAAAGCTGCATAAGTGCTTCCACAGAAGAGGAGCTCTTTAAATAGAAACTTCTTTGCATCACGTGGTATTTGGCTTGGTGAACCAGTAGATGTTCTTTTCAGTGACTACCGT